GGTTTATGGAACGGGTACGGTTTAGGGTACAGTTTAGGGTACGACAAAGTTTTTCGGTTAGCGTACGTGTCAGGGTATGGATTAGTGTTAGTGTACGGGTTAGGATTAGGGTACGGATTAGGGTAAGGCTTCGGGTAAGGGTTACGGTTAGGGAACAGGAACGGTTTAGGGTACAGGTTAATGTACGACAAGGGTTTAGTGTTAGTGTATGTGTTAGGGTATGGGTTAGTGTTAGTGTACTGTTTAGGATTAGGGTATGGGTTAGGGTAAGGCTTTGGGTAAGAGGTAGGGTTAGGGTTAGGGTTAGGGAGCGAGTATGGTTGTGGGTACAGGTTAGGGTTCGACAACGGTTTAGGGTTAGCATATGTTTTAGGGTACGGTTTAGTGTTAGTGTATGGCTTAGGACTAGAGTACGGGTTAGTGTAAGGCTTCGGGTAAGGTTTAGGGTTAGGATTAGGGTTAGGGAATGGGTACGGTTTAGTGTAGAGTTTAGGGTATGACAACGGTTTATGTTTAGCGTATGTGTTAGTGTATGGGTTAGTGTTAGTGTACGGGTTAGGATTAGGGTACAGGTTAGGGTAAGGCTTTGGGTAAGGGTTCAGGTTAGGTTTAGGGTAAGGGTAAGCGTTAGGGAACGAGTACAGTTTAGGGTACATGTTAGGGTACGACAACATTTTAGGGTTAGCATATGTGTTAGGGTACGGGTTAGTGTTAGTGTACGGGTTAGGATTAGGGTACAGATTAGGGTAAGGCTTTGGGTAAGGGTTAGTATTAGGGTTAGGGTATGGTTTACTGTTTAGGGTAGGGTACAACAATGGTTTAGGTTTAGTGTATGTGTTAGGGTACGCTTTAGTGTTAGGGTACGTGTTAGGATTAGGGGACGGTTAGCGTAAGGCTTCGGGTAACAGTTAGGTTTAGGGTTAAGGTTAGGGTTAGTGTTAGGGAACGGGGACGGTTTAGGGTACAGGTTAGGGTATGACAACGGTTTAGGGTTAGTGTTCGTTTTAGGGTACGGGTTAGTGTTAGTGTAAGGGTTAGGACTAGGGTACAGCTTAGGGTAAGGCTTTGGGTAAGGGTTAGGTTTAGGGTTAGTGTTATGGAACGGGTACAGTTTGGGGTACAGGTTAGAGTATGACAATGGTTTAGGTTTAGCATTCATGTTAGGGTACAGGTTAGTGGTATTGTACGGGTTAGGTTTAGGGTACATGTTAGGGAAAGTGTTCGGGTAAGGGTTAGTGTTAGGGTTAGGCTTAGGTTTAGGGTTAGGGAACGGGTACACTTTAGGGTACAGTTTAGGGTATGACAACGGTTTAGGGTTAGCATACGTGTTAGGGTATGGGTTAGTTTTAGTGTAGGGGATAGGAATAGGGTACGGGTTAGGGGAATGCTTCGTGTAAGAGTTAAGGTTAGGGTTAGGGTTTCGGTTAAGGTTAGGGAACAGGTACTGTTTAGGGTACATGTTAGTGTACTACAACGGTTTAGGGTTAGTGTATGTGTTAGGGTAAGTGTTTTTGTTAGTGTACAGTTTAGGATTAGGGTACGGCTTAGTGTAAGGCTTCACATAAGTGTTAGGTTTAGGGTTAGGGCTAGGGAATGGGTACAGTTTCGGGTACAGGTTAGGGTACGACAACTGTTTAGGGTTAGTGCATGTGTTAGCGTAAGGGTTAGTTTTAGTGTACAGGTTAGGTTTAGGGAACAGATTAGGGTAAGGCTTTGGGTAAGGGTTAGGGTTAGGGTTAGGGAATGGGTACGGTTTATGGTACAGGTAAGTGTACGACAACGGTTTGGGTTTAGCGTATGTGTTAGGGTACGGTTTAGTGTTAGTGTACGGGTTACGATTAGGGTACGGCTTAGGGAAAGGCTTCTGTTAAGGATTAGTGTTAGTGTTAGGGTTACAGTGAGGGTTAAGGAATGGGTACGGTTTAGAGTACAGGTCAGGGTGTGACAACAGTTTAGGTTTTGCGTATGTGTTAGGGTATGGGTTAGTGTTAGTGTACGTGTTAGGATTAGGGTATGGGTTAGGGTAAGGCTTCAGGTAACTGTTAGGGTTAGGGTTAAGGAACGGATACTGTTTAGGGTACAGGTTAGTGTACGACAATAGTTTAGGGTTAACATACGTGTTAGGGTAAGTGTTAATGTTAGTGTACGTGTTAGGATTTGGGTCAGGTTTAGGGTAAGGCTTTGGTTAAGTGTTAGGTTTAGGGTTAGGGTTAGGGAACGGGTACGGTAGAGGGTACAGGTTAGGGTACAACAATGGTTTATGGTTAGCGTACATGTTAGGGTACTGGTTAGTGTTAGTGTACATGTTAGGTTTAGGGTATGGGTTAGGGTAAGGCTTCAGGTAAGTGGTAGGGTTAGGGTTAGGGTTAGGGTTAGGAAACAGGTACGGTTTAGGGTACAGGTTAGGGAATGACAACGATTTGGGTTTAGTGTACATGTTAGTGTACAGTTTAGTGTTAGTGTACGGGTTAGGATTAGGGTACAGGTTAGGGTTAGGCTTTGGGTAAGTGTTAGGGTTAGGGTTAGGGAACGCTTATGGATTAGGGTAGAGGTTATGGTACGACAATGGTTTAGGGTTAGCGTATGAGTTAGGATATGGGTTAGTGTTAATTTACGCGTTAGGATTAGGGTACAGGTTAGGGTAAGGCTTCGGGTAAGGGTTAGGGTAAGGGTTAGGGAACGGGTATGGTTTAGGGTACAGGTTAGGGTATGACAACGGTTTAGGTTTAGCGTACGTGTTAGGGTACGGATTAGTGTTAGTGTATGGGTTAGGATTAGGGTATGGGTTAGGGTAAGGCTTCGAGTAAGGGTTAGGGTTAGGATTAGGTTTAGGGAATGGGTACGGTTTAGGGTACAGTTAAGAGTACGACAACGGTTTAGGGTTAGCATACGTGTTAGGGTATGGGTTAGTGTTAGTGTATGGGTTAGGAACAGGGTATGGGTTTGTGTAATGCTTCGGGTCAGTGTTAGGGTTAGGGTTAGGGAACAGGTACGGTTTAGGGTACAGGTTAGTGTACGAAAACGGTTTAGGGTTAGCGTACGTGTAAGGGTATGGGTTATTGTTAGTGTACGGGTTAGGATTAGGGTACGGCTTAGTGTAAGGCTTCAGGTAAGTGTTAGGTTTAGGTTTAGGATTATGGTTAGGGAACAGGTACGGTTAAGGATACAGGTTAGTGTATGAGGATGGTATAGGGTTAGCGTATGTGTAAGGGTATGGGTTAGTGTTAGTGGAAGCATTAGGATTAGGGTATGGCTTAGTGTAAGGCTTTGGGTAAGTGTTAGGGTTAGGGTTAAGGTTAGGGAATGGGTCCTGTTTCGGGTACAGTTTAGGGTACGAAAACTGTTTAGGTTTAGCCTATGTTTTAGGGTATGGGTTAGTGTTAGTGTACAGTTTAGGATTAGGGTATGGCTTCGGGTAAGGGTTAGTGTTAGCGTTAGGGTTAGGGTTAGGGAACGGGTACGGTTTAGGGTATAGTTTAGTGAACGACAACAGTTTAGGGTTGGCGTACGTTTTAGGGTATGGGTTAGTGTTAGTATACGGGTTAGGATTAGGATACGGGTTAGGTTAAGGCTTCGGGTAAGGTTTAGGGTTAGGGTTAGCATTAGGGAAAGGGTACGGTTTAGGGTACAGCTTAGGGTATGACAACGGTTTAGGATTAGCGTACATGTTAGGGTACGGTTTAGTGTTAGTGTTCGGGTTAGGATTAGGGTACGGGTTAGGGTAAAGCTGTGGGTAAGTGTTAGGGATAGGGTTAGGAAACGGGTATGGTTTTGGGTAGAGTTCAGGGTACGACAAAGGTTTAGTGTTAGCGTATGTGTTAGGGTATGGGTTGGTGTTAGTGTACGGGTCAGGATTAGGGTATGGTTTAGGGTAAGGCTTCGGTTAAGGGTTAGGGTAAGGGTTAGGGAACGGGTATGCTTTAGGGTACAGCGTATGGTACGACAACGATTTAGGGTTAGCATACGTGTTAGAGTACGGGTTAGTGTTAGTGTATAGGTTACGTTTAGGGTACGGGTTGGGTAAGTTTTCGGGTAAGGGTTAGTGTTAGGTTTAGTGTTAGGTCTAGGGAACATGTACCGTTTAGGGTACAGGTTAGGGTACGACAACGGTTTAGGTTTAGCCTACATTTTAGGGTATGGGTTAGTGTTAGTGTACGAGTTAGGATTAGGGTACGGGTTAGTGTAAGGATTCGGGAAAGGTTTAGGTTTAGGGTTAGGGTTAGGGAATGTGTACAGTTTATGGTACAGTTTAGGGTAGGACAACGGTTTAGGGTTAGCGTACGTGTTATGGTGTGGATTAGTGTTAGTGTACAGGTTAGGATTAGGATACGGGTGAGGGTAAGGCTTTGGGTAAGGGTTAGGGTTAGGGTTAGGGTTTGGGTTAGCATTAGGGAACGGGTATGGTTTAGAGTACAGTTTTGTGTACGACAACAGTTTAGGGTTAGCATATGTGTTAGGCTGTGGTTTAGTGTTAGTGTATGTGTTAGGATTAGGGTATGGGTTAGGGTAAGGCTTCGTTTAAGTGTTAGGTTTAGGGTTAGGGTTAGGGTTAGGGGACATATACAGATTAGGATACAGGTTAGTGTACGACAACGGTTTAGGGTTAGAGTACGTATTATGGTAAGTGTTAGTGTTAGTCTACGGGTTAGGATTAGGGTACGGATTAGGGTAAGGTTTCGGGTAAGGGTTAGGTTTAGAGTTAGGGTTAGGTTTAGGGAAAGGGTATAGTGTATGGTACAGTTTAGGGTACGACAACGGTTTAGGGTTACAGTACGTGTTAGGGTACACTTTAGCATTAGGCTACGGGTTACGGTAAGGCTTCGGGTAAGTGTTAGTTTTAGGGTTAGGGTTAGGGAATGGGTACGGTTTAGGGTACAGGTTAGGGTATGACAACATTTTAGGGTTAGCGTACGTGTTAGGGTATGTGTTAGAGTTAGTGTATGGGTTAGGTTTAAGGTACGGGTTAGGATAAGGCTTCGGGTAAGGTTTAGGGTTTGGGTTAGTGTTATGGTTAAGGAAAGGGCACGGTTTAGCGTACAGTTTAGGGTATGACAACAGTTTAGTTTTAGCATACATGTTACAGTAAGGGTTAGTGTCAGTATAGAGGTTCGGATTAGGGTTAGGGTAAGGTTTCGGGTAAGGGAGAGAGTTAGGGTTAGAGAATGAGTACGGTTTAGAGTACAGGTTTGTGTACGAAAACGGTTTAGGGTTAGCGAACGTGTTAGGGTACGGTTTAGTGTTAGTGTATGGGTTAGGATTAGGGGACGTGTTAGGGTGAGGCTTTGGGTAAGTGTTAGGGTTAGGGTTAGGGTTAGAGTTAGGGAATGGGTACGGTTTAGGTTACAGGTTAGGATACGACAATGGTTTTGGGTTAGCGTACGTGTTAGGCTATGGCTTAGTGTTAGTGTATGGCTTAGGATTAGGCTACTGGTGAGTGTAAGGCTTCGGGTAAGTTTTAGGGTTATGGTTAGGGTTAGGGAATGGGTATGGTTTAGGGTACAGGTTAGGGTACAACAATGGTTTAGGGTTAACATATGAGTTAGGGTAAGGGTTAGTGTTAGTGTACGGGTTGGGATTAGGGTATGGGTTAGGGTAAGACTTCGGGTAAGGGTTAGGGATAGGGTTAGGTTTATGGTTGGGGTTAGGGTTAGGGTTAGGGCATGGGTAAGGTGTAGGGTACAGTTAGGGTACGACAACAGTTTAGGGTTAACGTATGTGTTAGGGTAAGGGTTAGTGTTAGTGTACAGGTTAGGATTAGGGTACGGGTTAGGGTAAGGCTTCGGGTAAGGGCTAGGGATAGTGTTAGGGCACGGATAAGGTGTAGGGTACAGTTTTGGGTACGACAACTGATTAGGGTTACAGTACGTGTTAAGGTATGGTGTAGGATTAGTGTACGCGTTAGGTTAAGGCTTCGGGTAAGGTTTAGGGTTAGGGTTATGGTTAGCGAATGGGTACGGTTTAGGGTTCAGGTTTGGGTATGACAAAGATTTAGGGTTAGCGTATGTGTTAGGGTATGGGTTAGTGTTAGTGTACAGGTTAGGATTAGGGTACGGGTTAGGGTAAGGCTTCGGGTAAGGGTTAGGGTTAGTGTTAGGTTTCGAGTACAGTTCAGGATACAGTTTAGGGTATGACAATGGTTTATGTTTAGAGTAATTTTAGGGTCAGTGTTACTGTTAGTGTACAGGTTAGGAATATGTTACAGGTTAGTGTAAGGCTTTGGGTAAGTGTTAGGGTTATGGTTATGGTTAAGGTTTTGGAACGGGTACGGTTTAGCGTATACTTTAGTGTACGACAATGGTTTAGGTTTAACGTACATGTTAGGGTATGGGTTAGTGATAGTATACGGGTTAAGATTAGGGTACAGCTTAGTGTAAGGCTTTGGGTAAGTGTTAAGTTTAGATTTAGTGTTAGCGTTAGGGAACAGGTACAGTTTAGCATACAGGTTAGGGTACGACAGTGGTTTAGCATTAGCATATTTGTTAAAGTACGGGTTAGTGTTAGTGTACGGGTTAGGTATAGGTTATGGGTTCGGTTAAGGCTTCTGAGAAGGGTTAGGGGAAGGGTTAGGGTTAGGGTTAGTGTTAGGGAATGGGTACAGTTTAGTGTACAGTTTAGGGTATGACAAAGTTTTAGGGTTAGAGTATGTGTTAGGGTATGTGTTAGTGTT